AGCGTGCACATCAAAGTAAGCGGAGACTGGACGAAGGCATTCTTCGACACGTTCAAGAAGGTAAGCTGAAAAACCCAACGGTGTGAACGGTCTGCACGGACCCGGGATAAATTGGATTGAGATGCGTCAGATGTTGCTCATTTACAATCTCGTTTATATTTCTTGCTGACGAACTGGTGCCTGTAAGGATTATTGTATGAATCAAACGCTTCTCAATCCTCTCAGAAGCTCTGCCCTCTCTGACTTCTTGGGCGGTTCTAAACCTCAGCAAAACCGCAAGGCCCTATTTCTTGTAAGAAGAATCCACATTGGATCTGGTCAATTTGGAATGTTTGTCTAAGCAGCGTCTCAATGCTCTGAAGCTGACTGGACTTCCGGACCTGTCTGCCAGGGACTGACATTGTATGAATGACGTGTGCTGAATGTACTGTCTGCACTCACAAACGCGTGATTACATCATTTGAGAGCCGACCTCAGCCCAAAAAGTCGGAGGCGTCCTTTAGATCGACCCATCTTTCAGACCAACCAATGGGTTTTGTTGGCAACCCTGAACTGCCCAGTTTCTGTTGAGGAAGTACACGACATCATCCTGAGCTCACTGGATAACCCCATTCACAATTCTAGTTTGCATTCCGTAAGACCAATGACAGTCCAGGGCCTGGCACCATCCGCGCGACTTTTGCTAACGCACATTTTTTCTTGTACAGCGCCTCGACGAAGCCATGAATTCCCCTGCCGACCCTCCTCCCAGTCACAAGACCATCGAGGTCGACTCCGATGCACCGCCGGCCATGTCCGTCGACGACCTTGTTCCCGGGGGCTTTGATCCGGCTTCTCGGCCGGGCAAACTAGAGCGGGGAATGACTTTCCGCCTACGGTTCCCGGCCCTGAGACTGGACGGTCCCTTCGGAGCTCCTGCCCAAGACTTTTACAAGTACAAAGTCGTGGTTCTGATTGGGACCGGCATCGGGCTGACCCCTTTCGCCAGCATCCTCAGGGACCTTCTTCACAGCATCAAGGCCAGGGATGACGTAAGCCACCCGTCTGCTCCCCTAGTCTTTTCTCAGACTCTCCTGGCCAGTTGGACTTTAATAGGCCCTTTGAATACGACTCGACTATAATTCACGACTTGTCTTTCTTAGAAAGTGGGTCTTCCACGTGGTTTGAAATCACGCAAGCTCTTCGTTTATCACCTTTCGGGTTCTCAAGTGTTGGTTGAAGATGCATTGGCCTAGTAGTGCCGCTTTCCTTAAACCAGATTTTAGGATGCGACTGAAACTCACTAAGGAGACTCTTCAACAAAATTCTCTACCAGGAGAATCTTGATGGGCGAAAACCAGACGGATTTGACCATGAAGCTTGACATGGGAGCCAAGGGAGCTCCTTTTTGGCACTCCTTTACTTTAGCGCCTGGAATGCGTTGGGGCTGTCAGATGGTGTGAGCCCGGCCCCCATTTTGTTTCAGAGTGCGGTTGAGGATAGGCCAAACGTCTTTACAGAGCTCCTTTGGCTACAGTCAGTCGGAACCAAATGGTAAATAGTTGCTACGCACGAACGCAGGTGAACTTGGAACAGAAGCGGGTCGATAAGCTGACTGAAGTGGAGAAAGTGTACCTTCACTGGACCACCCGGGACAAGCGGACCTTCGACTGGCTGACGCAACACGTCGCAGACTTTGACGATCAGGTGACGAGCGAACCGTTCTCCACTCGTTTCAAAAGATCAGCAGTTTGCTTACTACCCTCTTGGCAGTCTTCTCTGCAGTACTGGCCTTGAGAATCTCGCACCGTTTGAGGGCTTGTTGGAGCGTCCACCACGCCTTCCTTTGTGGCAGCTTTTTACCGCGCACAATGATCAGAACAGGGTTCGCTTCCGTGATTGAAGTCCCGTGAACTCTCACGGAATGCATGGAGTTGATCTTCTCCTCTCGAAGGATGACGTCAGACCACGTCTGACCGGAATCATGCTCCTGCTTTGTATTCACTGCAGATTGCTGATAAAGACAAGTCTTGTTTCGTTTACGTGCTGATCCGGGACCTGCAATAGGCTTCGATCTTCTTTACGTGTCTTGCTCTCGTCGATGGTCTTGGTCTAGTACTGGGGCAGTCTGGAATCAGTTTGGTATATATCAAGCGGGCGCTAGCTCTCAAGATACAACCTGCCGTTATTGGCAGAAATGAGTGCTCCTGTGCCTTGAGTCAATATGTAGGTAGGCGCAGCAACAGATCATCTTGATAAGACTTTGAGCCTACAGCTGCCAGAACCACTTTTGCTTTTTCCTGCGGTTTCCGCTCCTGTTCACAGCTGTCCTGAAGTCTTGGCTGCAGTACCAGGAAGGGATTTCTGACACGCTTTCCGGTTTTTCCCCGAACAGGACGGGAGCCTGGACCTCAACATCCACGATTCGCTGCGGAGCAAAACTCTGCGGCACGTCCCGAGCAGGGCCAACCACCCCAACTCGACCTGGTTCGCCAGCAAGTCGCTCGTCCGAACCCCCTCCCTGAGTTTCACCCAGGAGCTTCAGCGAATGAGCTCCAACCAGGGAAAAGCACCCCCCCCCAGCAACCCCGAAGCCGACCAATGGGCAGAACCATTCCCGCTCAACCGGCTGACGTCGAGTTCGAACCCGTCCTTTCACAACCGGTTGGACCGCATCCTGTCGGGCAAGCAGCTGCGCATGGGGGACGACGGCTGGCCGTTGGTCCCGGATGACGTGGCGGAGGGCGACGTGATAAAGACGGCGCATGACGTCAGCACTGGCGTGGCCCGGCCCACTCTTTTGAGGCGGGCCTCCACTCGCTTGGAACGTGTGATGGACGCTGTCTTCGACCAGCCCGAGCGCGAAGAGGCGGAGACGTTCAGTCTGACGAGCTTCTCCCGGATCGAGAGCATCGCCCGGTTGCAGAAGCAGCAGAAGAACACGGAAGTGCTGGTACGGCCCTCGCTGCCTTTCTAGAAGCTTGCTTCATTGTTCTCTAAGAGCCAGTAGAGGTTGAGTCTGCTTGGTTTGGTCTGTCGCCTGGTTTTCATCGATACCGTTCCGAACCAGTCGGTATGAAAGTCGCGTGATTTGCGATGGTGCGCCTGGTTTGGCTGTTGCAGGCTTTTCTACGACCCAACTATACACTCTTCAGAAGCGGTCGATTCATCAACTTGGGGAGTTTACATTGGACTCGGTGTGGCATTGTCTTGGTATTTGTTTCTTTTGTCTTTACTCGTACTGTACGATAAGGCCGTAGCAGCAGCGCGGCCAAACGCTCGTTTTGCAGCGTCAGTTTTTTGACTTGACGGGAGCTTCCAAGATATGCAGGTAATGCTGAAGAAACACAAGCATTTGCAGCTGTTGAACATGATCAGGGGGCCCTCGGTTATAGAATCATATCGTTTTCTGACGTCAATTTTCTGCCGCTGCAGTTTGCAAGTCACAAGGGCCGGCCAGACTTCGACTACATCCTGGAGCAGACAAAGGCTGCGCATCCAGACACCAAAATAGGTGAGCGGGTTTTCACAGCCTCAGTGTGTGACGTCATTGAAAGCTAGCAGTTGAAAACGTGTCCAAAAGATATGAATCAGAAGACAGGATGCTTCTAGCGGATAAGAAGGTGTGCACGACTGATTTAAAGCGTTCAGAATGAGAGGACCTTTCATCGCCAATGAGGAGGTCATTCGAGGGGGACGCCTGCTTGTCCTTTCTGCTCCACTCACGAAGTCGACGTCAAAGGAACCACGAATCCACTACAACAAATGTTTTCATTCGAAGCCGACTGATTTGAGTCCAAGCTACAGTGAGCGCCAAATGGGGTTGGAAGAAGAAGTTCGATGCATTCATCAGCTTAGCATCTATAAGCTTATCGTTGATCCACTCAGGGAGTACGGTTTTCCAGATACCAGGTCCCTTCGGGAGCTTACAACGGGTTGACTTCTAACGGGGCGACCATGGGGGATCCGGCAACCCCATGATTCGTTCTTTGAGCTTGTAGCCGGATCGTTCGACACCGACGAAAAGAATGTTGTGGAATTTGGAGCTTTCAACAACTTTGAAACAAACTCCATGCCTTCGGTCCGACCCCTCATCGATTGAAGTTAACCCGGCGCCGGCACCCATTCTTCTTGCAGGCGTCTTCTTCTGCGGCGCAAAGCTCGTTGCTGCCGCTCTTCAGAATCTATGCATTAAGCATAGTGCGACGGCGGGTAGCACCTCCTTCGATTTCCATCAGGAGCACTTCTAGTTGTCTCCAGATTGCCGAGTTTGAAAGGGTCTTCTGGTAAATAATACGGTCAAAAGGTGACGTGGGCAAAGTTGGTGCCAAGTTTACGTAGTATTGTAAGCTGGCGGTTTTGTAGCTTCAATCTAGGTTTGTTTTTAGTCCATCTTATAAATGCAACACGAAGGCTAGGTGGAGTCATCAAGAGGCTGTCTGTGGTGATATCAAGTAGAGTCGTCCGGAACTCAACCAGGTCCAATCAAAGCTTTGCCATCAAGGTTCTTGCCACCAGACCACCAGTGCTGATGTTGTACAAAGACTCTGGATTCCGTGATCTAGCAGCTAATAATTGTAATTGGGGCGTAAATCTACCGTACGCTTAGTACACTAAGCGTACACAGCTAGAGGCTTTCTAGAGCTTTCCTCGAAGGCCGTAGTAATCCGCTTAGTAGCTGGAATTAGGACACCTAGTCGGACTCACCATTAGTAGCCATCTTCCGAAGTTCATGCGGGCTATGTGAAGTGTGAGTCAATGTGTAGCCAAGTATGCATCCTGAATTGCGTACGGTGACGAGCTAGTGACAGGAAGTCGGTCCGGTGTGCGAAATCCAGCCTCTTACTGTTGCTTACGTATGGCCCAAGTCAAGAGTACTGGATACGTACGCCGGAGATTCAGAGTATTTCAAGTCGGAGATAAACGAGTGAGCCAAGTCAGATCTTCGATCGTCGAGCAGGCTCGTTGGACTCGGTTAGAACGGTGTCAACATTGAATGTACATGGTCTGACACCGTCGGGGACACGAACAGTGTCACTAAAATTGGACTGTTATATCTAACTGTGCCGGCCTAATCTGCGCGGCGTGGGCCAATCATCGTGACTCAATGACTGTAGCATCGTGGCCTCGTCATATGATAGCTAGCCCGATCGGCATAGCTAACCCGCCAATGACTCCTACTCATGATACTAGACTTCAAACGTGGTTTGTGCCATGTCCGCATTTAATTCTGGCAGCCTGTTGGTTTCGATCGCATGTGAAAGACTTTCCATGACTCATATTCTGGCATTGAAACTGGCCTCAGGCCACGGACTTGATCTAGCTCAGCAACCTTTGAAAGAACGCCAGCACTGCACGTGTGCAAGATCATGGCCGAGCGACCGTGTGTGCACGCTGCGTTGTGAAATCAATGTCCTCTACATATCAAGGTATATTATCGACAGAAATGATCTCGACCGTCTTTGACGATTTGAACGCACTGCATGTTTTGCAATGGGCTACTTTATTTCCTGTGGGCTTGCAATGGGCTACTTTACTTCCTGTGGGCGGTGCACCGCTACCTCTACTTGCATCGTAACTCGAACAAACACTTATGGTACGTACCAGCATCTTGGCTTGTCAGAGACACTGTTCCGTGGTCGAGTCCCGCACTCAGTAACTGCTGATGCATGATGGCGCGGGCTGCATAGCCAGGCGACTACTGCTCTCTTTATGATCATCGACAATCTGCTTTGGATCACTTTCGCCTCCTATTGTCTCTTCTCCTTCGGAATGCGGACCATCTCTTCTCTGAGGCCACTTTCTCGAAGGTTTCGCAAAGCCTATTTCGCCTCTACTAAAATACACTGTTCCCAGATCACACACACAAGCACTCTCTGCTTTCCAGATCTCGCCCGGCACCTCAGTAGCCTCTGACTGTCACGCCCTACAGGAACATGGACTTGTGCTTGACCCCGTTCTCGCCCGTCTTCTTGGTCTCCTCCTCGGCTGCCGTCAGCAGGTCATCCATCTTGAGCTTCATGCTCCCGTCCACGCGCAGCGCCGCGCGCGCCGCCGCCCGGAACACCGCGCTCGCGATGCTGCCGCCCGCGTACTCGAACCGCTGCCCCAGCAGGTCGTAATCGATCGTCCCTTCCACGGGTACCTAAGCGCGTGACGGGGAGGGTCAGACACGGAAATGTGGGGAGCCGAAATCTGCTCCATAGAGCGGGCTCGGGGGTGCAAGACATTGCTTACAAAGTCAATGGAGGAGAAAAGTTGAGTTAACATCGTCGATATCCCCTGCCGCAGCAGACCAGCTGCAGCACTTTAGTATGGCCTGACCACGCGTGCGGCGCCGGGTACGGGACGGCCTCATACCTTCAAAGCGTTTTTCAATACCCACGGACGCAAGATAACGACGAAACTCGACGAGCAACTGCGGCAGGGCCATAATGACCAAGCAACGGTTTGAACACAATCTGCTCCATCGCGCTGGCAGAACCTGAAGCCTTTTTCAAGACAGAACCGGGGTATATCCAATCTTGGCAAGAGGAACCAAGACGCCCACGGAGGCCTGAAAAGAGTGCGAGGGGCCACGTACCTTGTCCGGGATCATGGACTTCCACAGCTTGGCGCGCAGCTTGGCGTCGGGGCTCTCGAACTCGAGCACGAACTTGATGCGCCGGAAGAAGGCCTGCAGAAGACGTACAGAAGCACGAGGTCAGGGCATCGGAAGGCGACCTCTGTGTGCAGACTTACGGCAAGCGTCGTGGTAATCCTCCCTATAATGCTCACGTTTGCATGAATTGCGAAGTGCGGTACGACCATGGAAGCCTCGCTTCAACATGCTAAGTACCCTCAAGTGGTGATCAACTCAGGGGTCGGCTGACACCCGCACGCTCGCCCTGTAAGGAGGAAAGAGCCGGACGCTTCGAGGACTTGAGCTCTTACGCGCGGGCTCATGAACGAGAGGCACCAAACACTTCGGGCCTCTACCCTTCTAATCTTGCGAAGCGGCAGAGCCGATCACTAGCACAGCACGTCGGCTAGAACATCGACAGAAGAAGCTGGGAGCACAGACGAAAGTGCAAAGTAAGCGTCTGGCCTTTTCGATAAAACTCTACAGTTCATGAACAGAAGGTCTGGAAATAGTCATCGTCTGACCCAAAACAAGAAGCCCAACTCCAATATTCCTGCTCCGTAGCCGTACTCACCCAAAATAGCCCCGCCACCAGCACTATCCACCCCAGGCTGGCAAACTTTACTATTCCTAAATGTCACTACTCCAGAACTCAAGTCTTCTCTTTCTTCCCCGCCCCCACCTTGTCGATGTTGTCGATGGTGTTGGTGATGAGCACGAGCGCGCCCGGGAATCGCTCCAGGTGGTGCAGCTGCAGGCCGACGTCCATGTTGGCATACCGCGCCGCGCTGCCCGTGTCGGCCGCGTGGCGCGCGCCGAACAGGCCCTCCGCCTCGTCGAACACCAGCAGAGCGTCCAGCATCTTGGCCTCCTCAAACACCTGCGGACGAGCAATGATGAACTTACAGCGCGACTCGAGCAAGTTGCCCGTCTTGTGGCGCAAGGGAGGCCTCAGAATTAGTCGACGTTGAATGTTTTGAAATTTAGTGTTGCTACGCGTGTTTCAGACTTGATCTAACTTATCATAGCGGTTACCTTGCTTCTAGGATCCCCCCGTCTCCTGAAAGGGCACCTTGCTGGAAAGGCTCTATATTCGGGAGGAAGTATGAGAAGCATTCGTGAGGAGGGTTCTTCGAAACGGGGACCGGTCGAGTAAGGATGCTCGACCAAGCCATCAAAGGTAAGCACCATATGACAGCTCTGCCTTAGATTTGTGAAACGCACGCAAGGGTGAGGTCCATTGCCGTCTTTTTGGAAGCCTTTCGAAAGGCAGGATCCGCTTTTAAGCAGCACGCTTGCTGCGACAACCACCAGTCTCAAAGACCGCCTTCAGAATTGTAGGCACCCAGTGCGGGCCTTCTCCGATGACCACAAACGAAGCCCTGATCTCGACTCAGGACAGAACGTTCCGAAAGACTCCGTATTATTTTCCCGGAAACCAGCGTAGATACCGTATAAACTCCGTACAATGCAATCTAGTGGTCGGAAAGGTTGCGAGAGGAGCTTTTCAGAGTTGTGGGCAAAGAGAGCCTGAGGCTGTGAGCACAGTCAGCGGCAAGCGCTGACCTTTTCGATGTTCTTGCCGGTCTCTCCGACATACTTGTTGACGAGCTCCGCGCAGTTGACGAACTTGATGGGCTTGCCCATCTCGAAGCCGAGGCACTCCGCCGCCATGGTCTTGCCGGTGCCGGGCAGGCCGTGGAACAAACACGAGATGCCCTGCGGCCACGCACGGGAGCGTTTGAAATAGAAATATAACGAAAAGTAGCATAGAGCTTGATGAGAGGCGCACGTGTAGTGACAGGTGAAAAGGAACGGCCGTCTCCGGCTTTCGCACGGCGTCGAGGCTGCGTGGAAGAAGCTTGATCGTACTCAAGAATGTCCAAGGCAACCGACGTCAAAGGAAGTCTTTGTATCGAGGAGGTGAGACTTTTTGCTTCTCCCCATACAGCGTTTGAAAGGACGTTCAAGGTGTGCGCCACAACGGGGGCCAGTACGACGTCCAGCGTTCACTTTCATATCTGCTCAACTGCCCTGTTCTGGAACTGACAGTTGACTTTGATCCTTAATCCGAACCTCAAAGCTCACACGAGCGCTGCGTCCCCTTAGAAACCCTTTCAAATAGCACTTGTTGGACACTGCTCGCGCGCCCACCTGGCGCTCGCGCATCTGCTCGCTGAAGCCCCACTGCCCGAACAGGATCTGGCGCGCCTTGTCAAAGTGCGCAATCTCCTGCAGCTGCTGCTCCAGTCCCGCCGAAACCACCAGTGCGTCCAATCCGGACTTGGGCACCACCCGCCGGTCGAACGCCTTCATCCTCAGGCTGCCACGTAGCTGCAGGCGGCAGCCCTCCATGAGGTCCGCCTCCGTGACGGTGAGCGGATCGGCGGAACGGCCGATGGCGAGGAGCAGCGACGAGATGATGGCGTTCTTGATGAAGCCGCCCGTCAGCTGCGGGGGGAAACGAGAAGACGGAATGAGAACCCGGGCCTGGTGTTCCAAGGGGACAAACCTTTTCAAAACGATGTCGAATGCGGGGAGTTGACGGCACGCGTGTCGGGCTGAGAAAAACGGGGCTAAGAAAAACGGGACTTTGCACGTCAAAAATATCTGGGCAGGGAACGAAGGAGACACAAAAGTCCTGAACAGACTTGAGCGAGCTAGTCCGCAGGCACATTGCTTGACAGACCTGCACGAGGTATCTTGTCGGAAGCACTTAATGGCGGAATGACCAAGCGACGTGAAGCGGCAGCTCTCAACGTCTGACACACGACGCACGTCGCAGAATGAAGCAAGAATACCGCGAGTTGCGAAAATTATGATATTGGATTGACTCGCGACCAAGGACAAGTAGGGGCTCACGCCCAAGCTGCGCTGGAAATAAGATTGTGAATCTCCTTTCATGGATACTTTCAAGCCCCTTACTGCCTACCACACTTTGAACAGGCGTCAAAAGTCCTGATGACCCGGGGGACAGCGAAACCGTCCTATTTACCAGAACGCTCAGTTTCTTAGCGACAGGAACTGAGAACGTCCTCCTCACCTCGTACTTGAGCGCAATCTTCTTGAGGTCGATGCCCTCCGCGAGCGGCAGCTTGGGCGGCAGGAGCGACTTCCAGATGTCGACGCGCAGCAGGTGGTCCGGCGGGGTGAACTCCACGACGAGCGTGATACGTCGATGCATGGCCTCGTCCAGATCGTACGGCCGGTTGGTCGCCAAGAACACGATGCCGCGGTGGCGCTCCATCTCCGTCAGCAGCACGTTCACCTGGGGGCACAAATTCGAGTGACGATTATTGGGAGGAATTTGGATCATGCTGGTCGCGTAGACCTGACCCGTCAAGCGAAGAGTCTTGACGTGCATCTGAGTGAGGATGCTCACTCCAAATGAGTACAGTCACATGGATAAAGAGCAACAGGGAGAATCTCTGTGTTGTCCTTGATAGAGCTAGATCTGAATATCGTATAATTTATCATGTGTCTAGAATCGTCTCACGCGAGCTTGCTTACAAAGGGCGTGTTGTGGATGGATGAATAGGCAACAAGGACTGCTTTGGTGGAGTGTGCGATTCAATCTAGCAGTCAATGTCAGAATTGCAATAGAACGGAACGGTTGACATGTACCTGCTTGCTCCCATGTTCTCGCGTCTCAAACACGCTCTCGCATTCGTCGAAGAATAGCCTGCAAGCAATCAGACCGTTCAGGGCGCATCCAACTGGATGAGGCCCACAATACAAGGGTGTCCTTTTGCTCGCCACTTATACTGGACAGGCTTTCAATTTGTGCATGGCTGGAAAAGTCAAACATCGATATATACCTGGTGGTGCCGGAAAGCTTTCTTATTTAGACCAAATCCCGCTGCCGTCGAACCATTGAAGCGTGCTCCGAAAAGCTGGACCAAAAGCCCGACAATTGACTCGACTCAAGCGGTAATCTCAGCTGGACAGGAGGCATCTTGCGCATATGGACGCGTGGTACAACCTATTCAAAACAAATCTGCCGATCTCGCAAGGCGTTGTTGACCTTGGCTTCCCAGAGGACCAGACTCTGCCGCCAAGAAACTACTCGCAAGTGTTTGGGCAAGAGACTAGAGTTCGCCGCCAAGCAACTATCCGCAAAAGAATGGCAGAAATACTCCACCACTCAGTCGCCTACCAAAGTACCAAGTCTGAGAAACAGCGAGGCTCACACGGCGTCGTTGACCTTGGCTTCCCGGAAGAGCCACTTGAAGTTGAGGTCCCCCTGCGCGGCGCCCAGTGACGGCAGGTTCACCAGCAGCACGCGCTTCTTCAAGTGGTGCGCAAGAGCGTTCACCGTCATGGTCTTGCCTGGAACGGGGCAGCCGAGGAAGCGTCAGACTGGTCAGCAGAGAAATTGAAGCGTTTATCGCCAAGCGTCTGTTGCGCGGAGTTCGTCAGCAACGGGATTAAAATAGGAGACACTTATCGCTTTGAAGAGAAGAAACGTCTGCAAATAGGACGCCGGTTGAGACTCATCTCGGACAATAGGGCAACGAGCAGAGGATTGTGGTCTGTCCTTGTGGTAGGTAAGAACAACCTTTTTGAAACGATTAGAACTCTAAATTAAGCTAGACGAGGAACGGAAAGAACGCAAAGGTTTGCGAGAGACGGGGAGCAAACGAAAGGAGGTGTGGGTTACTTCGCGGGCATGGCACCTGCAAATTCCTCGGACAGTCCCTGTCAGGCCTTAGCTTTGCCAACCGATTCTGGCACTACAATCGTCAACCATAGATGTATTGCAGGTCACGTTATCAGCAAACGTCTCCGCATTTAGTGCACTCCTTCACACGGACACCAGCATTATCAGGCACAGACGTTCAGTCTCAACATAAGGCCTTGTTTCTGGCCGGCTGGCCCGCCTCACCAGTGCCCGATGGCCCGCAGAAGAGGATGACGAGGCCCGCCCCGTAGCTGATGGTGTCCTCCAGGCCGTACTCGGCGCGCTTCTCCGCGTACGCCTCGAAGCTGCTCAGCGTCTTGAGCACCATGTCCTTCTGCTCGCTCGGTAGCACCACGCGATCCAGCGTAATCTGCACCATTGAGATGACCGCGGGTTAGCGGCGATAACCCAATGGGTTAGCAACGAGATAGTCCACAGTCTGGTGAGAGTCATCCACGCATCTGTCTAAGCGCTTCTCAGATTACTGTGTGGACCAGAAGCCAGTGAATCTCGTTTCGTAGAAACCGTCGGCTGTTGCGCTCTGGGTTTCTGTAAGACAGTGCCACATCCGTATGTCGCAAGCGGGGCGTCCACAAAACCAGCAGCCAGGGCTCTAACAGCCTTCCGCGACTCTTCTTTTTGACAGCGCTCTTGCTGCAGCCCTGTCGATAGCGAGATGCAGAGTCCCTGCCCGCAGACAGTCATGGAAGGGAAGCGCCGTCCGCGCCGTTTTTGAGGAGTATCGCCTCACCTGCGGCGTGTAGAGGTGGCTCCCTTCCACCAGCTCGTTGAGCTCCGTGTCGAGGCCCACCACAAAGTCGAGCGTGCGCCGGTCCACCTCCACCGGGGTGCTCACCAGGTCACTGCACGGGCAAGAAAATACGGAAAAGGTGTGATACTTTGATTCCGGAATAAGGAGGCAAGAGAAGCCCTTACATGACTGGGCAGACCGTAGAGGGACTCACTCGGGTTGCTTGGCGCCGAGACACAAGCATACCTATCTCGATGATTGAAGAACCCGCTCGCAAGAATTCATAGAAATAACACGAACCGACTTTCTCTTGGGCGAGAGGTTTCGACGAACGGATGCTAGGTCACAACAGAAGCACAAGAAGCGTTTCCGTGGCCGGCTTTCATTTGATGCGCTGCAGCATAGAGTGGGCTTGGTTTCTTGCCTGCCCCAGCCGCGGCTGATCTCCCCCAGCTTGAGAACCCCCGACTGCACCAGCTTCGCAGCCTTGTAGAAGTGCACCCGCCGGCTGACCTGCAGGGCAGCCGGAGATTCCGCTAAGGGTGCCATCCAGCGCAGACTTATTGGTAACGTGGCAAGATGTTCCTTAGGGTGTGATCGCCAGGTGAAGTCAGAAGGCCAGCAATGAAGCTGACATGACAAATGTCGAGGGATACGTGTGGTCAATCGCACTCACCCAGTCAAGAACGCTGTGGAATGTGCACGACGGGATAAGATGAATAGAACCATCCCTTTCTCTTGATCTAAAACGTTCCCGAGATTAGGTTTGTATGCTCTCATTCCGCCCCTACAACGTTCTTGTCACAGCTTTCAGCGGGCATGAGCGTCCCCTGCGCTATTCAGTCGCGTACCTAAGAAGCTTTCAAAATGCGAACCATTTTGTCGATATGATCCAAAACATACTTCAAAATCGCACCCTCCCTACACGCTGCCCCAATTTTCGCTCTACCACCAGACAGGAAGGTTTACAAGAGAACTTTGTACAAATCAAACAAAGGCCAAGACTCCTTTTGGCACCGTCGAAGGTGCTCGAACAGGTACAGTCTCCGCTTCTTAACCACACGTGTGAGACCAGAGAGTCCAATTTTTGAAGCAGACAAGTGGGTCTTCTTAGCGGCAATTTCTGCAGATCGTCAAGTGTGCTGCAAAGGTGGTGGCAAAGCAGGTCCAAAAGCGCTCTTTTCCTGGATACAACCAACGCGTCGGCCGGAGACCCAGCCCCCCGTACCTGCTCCTCGAAGGTCTCGCAGAAGGTGTTGAGGATCTGGTAGACGGTCATGTCGTTGTAGCCGCTTGCGGCCAGGATGCTCTTCAGCACGGGGCTGATCGTGAACCCCACCAGCAGCGTTACCACGTCCTCCTCGAAACCGTCCAGCCCTAGTTTCTCCGCCAGTGCCAGCAGCCGCGGCCGCCACGCGCCCGCCTTCGCCAGCCGCGTCTGCGCGCACAGTGGAGGATTTGAGGATTCAGGGAGGGGGTGCGGAAGTCTGGAAGGGTCCCGATACTGGCGAGTCGCGTCGAGCGAGTCTGCAGAGGGGTCTGTCACTGACCTGCGGCTTTGAAGTCCTCAAAACGGGTAAGTAATGTGTATTTACTTACATGGATGGACGCTTTCTGATCTGAACGCTGATCGAAGTGCAGCTCAGACTCCAATCAGGAGCAGTTGAACAAGAATGCACGCAGAAGACGCCCCCGCGGTGTGCACACCAAGCAAATACAGCTTCCATCGGACGAGGCAAACCGCACCAGAAGTTGCACAGACCCAGGAAGTGGGACCGGGAAGGAGAGAAAACCATTGCCTGAGAAGAGAGAACAGTCGGAGTCTGCACCCTTTCGAACAGGGTAAGGGAAAGCTAATCGTAGGCAACACCCCTCGGAGTCGGCCAATCCTTTGATAGGTTCAAAAACTTCAGACGACCGGTCGGCTGCCTCTGCTTCCAGAAAGCTCGTCACGTAGCCAATTAAGCAAACATGCCAGACTGAAGGGGCGACCGGTTGGTCGAAAACGTTTATATAGGAAGCATGAATCGGGCTATAGAGCTATATATTTGCGCTAACCAGCATGGGAGTCCAGACCACCGTCACATGGATAGAGCCACACCCCCCCCGCTTAGGCCCAATTCAAGTTCCACCCTGAATGTAGCTCAATGCCAATCACGATGTA